ACATCTCTGACCATTGGGCATGCTGGCTGGGGCTGATGGAAACTGCAGTCCAGCAATATGTGGCATTCCACAGGCCTGCCACTCCTGTTGTACATAGTACTTTGGGGGTCCTATCACACAACACCCAAAATTACTAATATTACTAATATGATTCTGATTTATAGACCCAGGCATCCAACAGGTTTGACTTCATTTGAATCTAATGAAGTTCCATGACTCAGCTTGCTGATACACCCAAGAATGAGTTTAATCATTGCAGTTAGTTTCTCTACAATGGCATAGGGTTACAAAGGGCTCTAAATGTCACCTACAGGACTGACAACATTCTTTCTTGGTGGTGGCCAGGAACAAGCAACAATATGGTTTTTGCCCTATGCGTAGAACACACAGACCTCAATATCCTGCTGCCCTAGGCTAGCCTTGGAGAGATTACCAGTGAACATCTGAATAGGTTCCATAAAGTAAAATGTGTTTACTGGTATTTTTATGAGTCATCACCATGTTGCAGGAAAGTAAGTGATTTAGTTTGGAGTGGGTTTCAACAGACAAAAGGTTGTGCAAAACTCAGTGAGAAGAGTTGGGAGATTAGATAGATAGATGATAGATAGATGATAGATAGATAGATAGATAGATAGATAGATAGATGATAGATAGATAGATAGATAGATAGATAGATAGATAGGAAGTTTTAAAAATGCTGTAACATCAGACTCAGGGAAGGGTAAAATAAAATAAAATTATGAATCACTGGATTCATGAGAGGCAAACTGATCGCTGTCCTAGCATCTTGTGAAAAAGTGAGTAGGGGCATCTTGACACTGGTCTCTCATGCAGGCACAACTGTAGACTTACAGTTGTATTTATATTAGAATTATTTATGGTAAAGGAGACGATAGGAGAGCAGGCATGACTTGAGTGGCTCAATCAGCTGCCATAATATTTATATCCTCTCGAACAACAGAGACCATCAACTGCAGCAACCTCTTAAATCCATGAACATTTCCTGCTATAGCCTTTTGATTAACAGAACTCTGCTCTCCTGTAATGAAATTCATAAAAGCTGAGCCCATCGTTACAGAGCTAGAGGCATGCAAGAGTTTAATTTGGTTAATGCACTTTTTATTCATTATTGGTCTTTTATGAAAGACACACAGCCTCCAACTTGCAGAGTGCATTGCTTAATTACCCATGCTTCACTTCAAAAAAGAACCCCTCCCCCCAACCCCCCCCCCCAAGTATTTAAGTTGTCCATCAATACTCCATGCAGGGCAGAACTATGATCGATTGATGTAGTGAGTAATGCACAGTTAGAATGTCAAAGGAAGTTAGCATCATGCTGTTGCATTAGAAAGACTTAAAGAGTATATATTAAGCAAGACAATCAAACTCATTTCAACACACTCTACATTCTCTCTTCCTATTGATTTGTGCTGGTTTCTGCACATGCAGATGGAAAGTAACTTCATTTACTACCACCAACCTATTTGTTGCATGCACAAAAACATTTCCCAGAAACCTTGTCTTAACTACTTTGGTACACAAAAGAAAAGCTCTTCTCCTGTGTACTGGCAACAAATCTGCAGGTGAGCGATCACAGCTGATCCCCCCCCCCCAATTTTTATTTTATTATAACTACAGAAATACAATCTTTCACACATATAACCCTAATTCTGAAATGATATTAATGAAGGACAAACTACATATGTGCAATAACAGACGCCAACATTCGTTGGAAGAGCATCAAAGCAGGTATTTGGAAGTAAGGAATAGGATCAAATTTGATGCCTTGCTATTTCAATCCAAAGGTATTGAGTGAGTTTTACAAACCTTTTGCTAAGGACTGCTGGATTATTTTACTTCCTTGGCCTCCACAAAAATTGAACAGCTGCTTGCTGTCCAAGTTAAGGAACTGTTTTAGCATAATCCTTTCCATCCGATGAAAGGCTACTTTACCACCACAGGGACACTAGATTTAAGTATCAGGATAGCAGGCTGTATTACTACTGTTGGCATTCAAGAACTAATCATTCCAGTCTAAAGAAGCTGTTGGGCTCTTTATTCTCTCATATATATATATATAATTTTCATACCACACTTCATACAAAGATTTCAGGTTGGTTCACAGTATAAAAATACACAATAAAAACACAAATGTATAGTAAGTACAAGAACAAAACAAACCCCTGACACCCACTCCGGCAAACACATTTAAAAGGACACAGAATGTCAATCAGCCAAAGGCCTGGTTAAAGAGAAATGTTTTTGTCTGGCACCTAAAGATGTATAATGAAGGCACCACGTGAGCCTCCCTGGGGAGAGCATTCCATAAATGGACAGCCACTGCAGAAAAGTCCCGTTCTCATGCCACCCTCCAGATCTCTCATGGTGGCTGCACATGAAGAAGGAACTCAGGAGATGATCTGGCTGAGTTGATATGGGGACAGGTGGTCCTTGAGGTACTGTAGTCCTGAGCCATTTGAGGTTTTACAGGTCAAAACCAGCAATTTGGATTGAGCCCAGAAACTAATTGGCAGCCAGTGCGATTGGGCCAGGATTGGTGTAATACACTTAAACAGCCTTGCCCCAGTGAGCAACCTGGCGGTCAAATTACGTACCAGCTGAAGTTTCCGAACTGTCTTCAGAGGCAGCCCCACATATAACATGCTGCAGTAATCCAACCTAGAGTTTACCAGAGCATAGGCAACAGTATCCCTGTCCAGATAGGGGTGCAGCTGGGCCACTAGCCAAAGCTGATGGAAGACACTCTGCACCACCAAGGCCACCTAAGCCTCAAGTGACAGCAAAGGATCCAGAAGTATCCCCAAGCTATGTATCTGCACCTTTAGAGAGGGAGTGTAACCTCATCAAGGCCAAGCAACCTCCCATCCATCCAATTCAGGGAACACCCAATAACAGTGCCTCAGGCTTATCTGTATTGTGCTTCAGTTTCTTGGCTCTCATCCAGTCCATTACCAAGGCAAGACAACAGTCCAGCATATCCACTGCCTCACCTGCAGATGTAAAGGAGTAGAGCTCTGTGCCATCAGCATATTGCTGACAACATGCTCCAAAACTCCAGATAACCCCACTTAGCAGTTTCATGTAGATGTTAAACAGCACAGCGGATAAAACTGAGGAACTCAGCATTGAAGGCTCCATGGAGCACAAGCACCACTCTCTGGAAACGACCACCCAAGTAAGACCAGAACCACTGCAAAGTAGTGCCACCCACCCCTAACTTGGATGGCTGCTCTAGAAGGAAACCATGGTCAGTGGTATCAAAAGCCACTGAGAGGTTGAGGAGAATTAACAAGGACACATTTACCCTGTCTCTCTGCTGACTGAGGTCAGCATACAGGGCGACCAAGACAGTTTCTGTGCCAAAACCGGAACTAAACCCTGAATGAAATGGATCTTGACAGAATCTTAAACATCTCCAGCTTCAAAATAAAAAATTGAATTGAAATAATCTCTTGGACAGTCAGGAGTCCACACATTATTGGACTGCTACAAAGGGAGGGATGGCATACCAAATATCACATGAAAACTGAATAAGAACCAGAAGGACAAACCTGACGGCATATTATGTCTCTGAATCCATTACTCTGAGCTTCTGTGAAGTCAATGTTACCTATAAAGATGAAGTAGGTCTCTGTGGTTCAGAATGCCTCACCAGTACTTGAAAACTCGCAGTAGCTTTTTAAGGGGGGGGGGGGAGCAATGCTAAAACTAGTTGTACCTGGAGAATAAGCCTCCATTGTTAATGAATAGGGGTATGGGCAACCTGTAGTTCCCTCTGAATTTGTATCCAATAGACCAATGCTAGATCATGTTAGTGCCAAAGGAATAGTTAGACCTATCAGGACCAAAGGGACAGCTCTTGTGGCAGAAGAGGAAGCTCACCCTCAGACTGAGCACTATGTAGCAGCAACGACATATATGAATGCTTTGGAACATATCTCAACTATCTAAAGATCCATCAGATCAGAAGTTTCACCATCCCACAGTATACCTTGGTCCAGTATACCTGAAGGAGCGTCTCCATCGTTCTGCCCGGACACTGAGGTCCAGCGCTGAGGGCCTTCTGGTGGTTCCCTCGCTGCAAGAAGCCAAGTTACAGGGAACCAGGCAGAGGGCCTTCTTGGTAGTGGCACCCGCCCTGTGGAACGCCCTCCCACCAGATGTCAAAGAGAAAAACAACCACCAAACTTTTAGAAGACATCTGAAGGCAGCCCTGTTTAGGGAAGCTTTTAATGTTTAATAGGTTATTGTATTTTAGCGTTTTGTTGGAAACCGCCCAGAGTGGCTGGGGAAACCCAGCCAGATGGGTGGGGTATAAATAATAAATTATTATATTATTATTATTATGCCCATCCTCTCCACCCACCAACACTGTGCTCTGACTTCCTTGCCATCTCTTTACCTGCTACACTACTGGATGAACTGCTCCCCTGTGATTGGCTCAACTCCTCTGATGTCAGGGTAAAACCTCTTCAGTGCTAGAGCACTGAAGAAGCTAATCTTGAGCAGTATGGCTGGTCCTGCTCCTTTGAATTATTCTAGCATTACGATATCCGAGATGAAGAAGCAGATCCAGCCACCATGATGTACTTCTTGGCAACCTGTAGAGCAGAATACCGTGATGATCTTTACGGGGAAGCTGCCTTTCAAGTTGTTTGGAAACTGTAGCTGGCCCAGAATCGCTCTGGTGGGATTACTGATGCACAGGTGCCAAGACAGCAGAGAATACATCTTATCCAGGAAACGCACCAGGTTACCAGGGCATTTCCTGGTACATCTGAAGCTGCTGATTTCAAAGTTCTCAGTGGTCTAAGCCTTGGTTAAGAGGGAAAAGTCTCTGCCCCATATAGTTTCCCCCTCCTCAGTTGTAAAGGCTGATTCTGTTACAGTGGTTCCCTCTGTAGCAGCAACCTCCTTGTAGAACTGTCTACTCAGGGAGACCTGGCTGCCTTTAGATGTTTTCACTCACTTTTTGTTTTCAGATGGACTGTTAATACCTTCATTTTCAGGATGGCTTTCAACATTTAGATGGTGCATTACTGTACCCAGGCAGCTGTTATGTTCAGGTAAGGGAATGGCCATTCAGGATCTCTTCTGCATGCAGAAGGCCCAGGTTCAATCCCAGCATTTCTAGGAAGGGCTGTAAGAGAGCAACCACTAGCCAGGGTAGACAATGCTGAGATAGAGGGACCAATGGTCTGACTCAATATAAGGTGGCTTTCTCTGTTCATAACATGCAGAGTTACAACTTGCTTGTTTCCTTTCCTATTTTTATAGCTGGATTTTTTTTTTTACTGCTATGCATATGTGTTTTTCGCATGGTAAGCTGTTTCAGGGGGCACATTTATATAAAGAGAAAGAGAGAACACACCTTTCAATGAGAAAGAACACAAAACACCACAAGGTGGTTTACATTTTACACAAACCAATCCATACAACTACTATAAAAAATAACAAAAAAATATAAATAAATGGTGAAATCTCAGCTCATGCCCAAATGCTGGGCAATTTTTTTCTCTCCCCCCAAAAAGTGTTTTCACTTATCCATGAAAGGAGACCAAGAAAGAAAAACAGCACATACATACAGATTTCTCATGGGAAAGCATTTCCCAACTCCAGAACCACCGCAGGAAGCAGGAATAAATAAATAAATCTTACTGCAGATGGTGAACACTAGGAGAAGCTTGCAGGCTAGCCACAGGAAGAAGAGCCACTGTGGAAGCCTCAGCATTAAAAAAAAAAAAAGGAAGTTCAGCCGATGCCTCCATGCAGAGATGTATTTACTTGATGGGGTTTTGCTTTTGTTTTTATCCTGCTTTTCAGGAATGCATCCTTGCAAAGCATCAATATCCTCACAAAGATTTAGGACTCTTTCTTCTTAGAAAGCAGGGCTAAAGGTTGATGCTAGTTTAGCACTTTCAATGCTGTATTTTTGGCCATACATAAAAACTTGTTGAAGTCCTCCACCTCCACAAAAAAAACAGAGAAGAGATCACAGGCTGGGTGATATTATGACTGAAATAAATATCTTGCCTCTATAAGTGTTCCCCCTTCCTCTTGAAGCCCTCCCAGTGGCAGCAGATTTGACCCAAGTCACTGTACTTTCCCCATGAACACACACACAGACGCACATATGAGAGAAGTTAAAATTCTATTATATCTAATTTTATTTTAAAATCTTCACAAAAGCTCAGAAACCATCAGAATGCCAGGCTGCAAGCATGATTCACAGAAGCTTCAAGGGCAAGATTTTTTCCCTCTAGGAAGGGGTAAAAATCACAAGCAAACACACAAGAAAAGCTGAGTATTACAAAAATGGGGAAAAACACATAATAGTATATTGTTCTTGGCACAAAAGGCCAACGTAGCAGACAGGGAAGCCTGCTGCTAGTTAGAGAGCAGGGGCCCAAGGTCAGACAGGCGCTCCGCCAACCATTTTTAGCTCTATGCCATCTGATCCTGGCTTGTGGTGCTCCTCCATAGGCAATGAATGTTTGATTTGCAACTTTAGTGCATTTAAGCTAGAAGCACAGGAGGTGCTGAAAGCGAACAGGTCACAACAGCCAAGCACACAAAGAACGGCACCCGTCTCCCCAAACACCCAGCACTACATCATGAAGACAGCAAGGGCTATTAAAAGAGGGGACATAAAATGAGATCTTTGAAGCTGCTCTCCTTTTCAGTTTTTATCCTGTCACCTTCCACTTCTTGGACAGGGATTCTGCCATGGTGAGTTCACCTTTGGTTGACTGAGCCTTCTCAGATGTAACCACTTGGCACCTCTCTTTCCCTCTTGCCCATGGGGGGGGGGAACCCCTACAGGGTTGTTGGAGGTATCAGACATGTCCTTTGGGGCTTACAATGAAGGTAGCCCACTAGCCCCAAAGCTGGCACTGAAGGCAAAGGATGGGTCAAATTGCTTCCAGTGCTGTACCTGTTGAGAGGTGGATCCTTGAAAGAGTCTAGGTAAGTCTATTTTGAGGATTGCCTTCATGCCAGCAGGCTTATGCCCAAAGACCAATGAGGGTTCATATAAATTTGGCCCTGCCAAAACTTCTTCCACGCCACCACCCTCCTTCATCCCCTTTTTAGATGCTGTCCAGTCAGCTGTTCTGATGGGTTGATGATGGGCAGTACAACTGAAACACATTAATTCATTAGCAGTAGCTTCAGCAACACTGGGATTTTATTGCTAGCCCAGAGTGTGTGACCTGCCCTAAGTATCAGATGAAGCTGCAGAACCCATAATGCATTAGTCAATTCACTTCAAAGGCGTATTTTACTCAGATCACCCCTCTCCCTAAAGAAATATGCATTAAGTAATATTCTATATTATAAAATGCAAAAAGAAATGATTATAATAAAAATCAGGATGTAAATCTGTTTGCTGCACTGATTTGATGGCACCGTTTCTGTTTCTCTCTCTATCATTTCTGATAGCTAATTTCTGTTGACAACAGTGTCAAGGCTGTGAAGGAATTTCCAGCACTTGTGTGAAGAACTGTGAGGCGCTGCTACTAGCCACTGAACCTAGGAAACTGCTTTATAACAAGAGAGGCCATCAGTTCATGTATGGCATTGTCAAGACTGTGTTACAACAGCTCAGGCAGGGCTACCTGGATATTCTTCCATGGACTGAACTTTGACACTTTTGCATGCAAAGGAGGTGCTCTACTATTGGTGTTATGGTTCTTCTAAATAACTTTACTCATTTGGAACTCTATGTGGACCACTAGTCCATATTAATTTCCTTCCAATATTTCAGCTGATTACCATCTTCCTTTATGCTCAACTGACAAGTTACGCAGGGACACAAAAGTTATTAATTTGGGTAAGGTTTCTTTTTTAAATAATAACATACTTTGATTTTGTTCATCAACTTTTTTAAATGATAGATTAATTTTTTTCAGTACACAATTTTGTCTTTTAATACAGTTTGGTACCAGCATTTTAATTGGCTCCAAATCGTGCTATCTTCAATCCACTACTGCCCACCACATAAATTGACCAGATTGGGCTTTGCCATTCAGTTTCCTGACTCCATTTGGTATAAATAGCAGGTTTGGGGGCTTCAAGAGTAGTATTTGTCCTTGTCTGTAGGGAAGTCCCAACTCTGAAAAGAAAAAGGTAACATCAAAAACAATTATAGGTAAAGTTGTGCCTTTGAATAAAGGATGTATCCTAAGTCCCTGGGAGGAGAAAGAAGAGGAGGACACTTCTCCTTGCCCCACAAAACCAACCACAGAAAGCCCATTTTCTTTGTACAGTAATCTGGAACTGATCTCCATTTACACAGTCAGTAAAATATGTTGCCACTAATGCAACAAAAAACGAAGATCATGGCCACTGGTCCCATCACCTCCTGGCAAATAGAAGGGGAAGAAATGGAGGCAGTGAGAGATTTTACTTTCTTAGGCTCCAGGATCATTGCAGATGGTGACAGCAGTCACGAAATTAAGAGACGCCTGCTCCTTGGAAGAAAGGCGATGGCAAACCTAGACAGTATCTTAAAAAGCAGAGACATCACCTTGCCAACAAAGGTCCGTATAGTTAAAGCCATGGTTTTCCCAGTAGTGATGTATGGAAGTGAGAGCTGGACCACAAAGAAGGCTGATCGCCGAAGAATTGATGCTTTTGAATTATGGTGCTGGAGGAGACTCTTGAGAGTCCAATGGACTGCAAGAAGATCAAACGTATCCATTCTTCAGGAAATCAGCCCTGAGTGCTCACTGGAAGGACAGATCCTGAAGCTGAGACTCCAACACTTTGGCCACCTCATGAGAGGAGAAGACTCTCTGGAAAAGACCCTGATGTTGGGAAAGATGAAGGGCACAAGGACAGAGGGCGAGATGGTTGGACGGTGTTCTCGAAGCTACAAACATGAGTCTGACCAAACTGCGGGAGGCAGTGGAAGACAGAAGTGCCTGGCGTGCTCTGGTCCATGGGGTCACAAAGAGTCGGACACGACTAAACGACTAAACAACAACAACAATGCACACTTATTTTCACCCGGTGGTCATACAATCTCAGAAAGGAAATATTGCTGGTTCTCCCTTCATGAATGATTCTATCACTTCTAGCCAAACCTTCATGAAGGGAATTAAAAAGATGTTGCTATTCAAATAGGGAGCTTATGCAAGGATGCCTCTTCACACTGTGGCAGCGATGCGGAATTAGAGAACCGCCTGTTAAAACCTGCATTTGCATTCTGCTCACCTCTGATACTGCTCTTGCAAAGTTCATTTGGAGCAGGATTAAGTCTCAGGTTTATAAAACACCAGGCACTACAGGGATTGGGGGGAGGGGGGAGGAGGAGGAGGAGGAGGAGGGAGTGGATTCATTTCATAGACAAACACTCTATAAAACCAAGCCTGTTTTGACAGATAGCATCAAAACGTGATCTGAATACCCAGGCAGGCGCCAGGAAAATGGTTGCTCAGGTACAGGTCTCGTTCAGTAAATTAATAAAAGTGCATGGATTGACGAAAAGGGGGCAAGGGGTAGGGGGAGAACAACCTAGCAACTGGCATGTAAATCATGTCTTCATCTCAACTTGGCACAGTATTAAAGTTTAGATGCAGCACATAGAGGAGTTACAAGACAAACAGGTGCCTCAAATCATTTCAGAGTACACACTTGTCCAAGACATCCTCTGTGACACCAAAATCAATTTACTATCTCTTTACTAATAACTTCTCAAAAGTAAAAGGAGGAAATGGAATCACAGGCCCACCCATTAATCTAGCATGTTATGACAAAGCACAATACACCGTTTTTACACTCCCAAATCAGGTGGCAGGGTGTTAGCCAACAATGGCTTTAATTAGTGCTACTTGATAGAATGAGTGGCATTGAGATGTGCCCAAATCCATCTTCATTGCTGCCATCTATAAACCTTGACAAGCTCCAAGAAGCAATCTGTCTCTTCTCTGAAGCACTCTGGAAATTCTATATGAGCCACAGTCTGACATCCCATACACTCTATAAAAATGGCACTAGCAGGAAAGGTCACTCATCTCCTGACCTTCCCTAAACAAACTGAAGACAGTACTAGGTACAAGAACTTTTCCACACTGGAACACCTCTGCAATTCAAAGCAACCTGCTGTGCTTATTTAAGCAGACCCAGTAAATCAAACTAGTTCAATTTGTTTGGCAATCCAATTAAAACAAAAAACATCCACTGTATTAAGGAAGACAGCTGTAATGAAGTGCACTTAATCTTTAAAGAGCAAACACTGAAGCTGCACGTTTAAGTGAAAATATGTATCCAGTATTAGTTAACTACCAAAGTTTTTTTAAAAAAGTGGGAAAATTCTTCCCATACCACATACCAGGTCACTAATCTATGCACACTCAAGTACGCATTTATGTACATAAACACAACATGCATAGGGGGAGAGATCAGAATAGATTGGAAAGGTACAACAAGGAAGCTAACATCCCAAAGCTACCACAACAGAGCCTTTCCCAAATTCTTTCTTGGTGTACTGGAAGCTTGTTTTAAACTTCCACTTTCCCCCCTCAGTACATCCTTCTCAGCTGCTTGCTCTAGTCAAATCTCTGCCATTGTTTAAAACCACAATTTTCCTCTCACTGTCTCTTCCACTTTGCTAAACTCAAACCTCTAGCCTCTCCCTTTCCTCAGCTGCCTTCTGTGAGAGAGATAAAGGATGAAGAGCCCTCAAATATCCCATGGCACTTTCACAGTGTTATTTCATTCTTGGTACCTTGTGTTGTTCTTCGCATGAAGTTCCGGGTTCAATGCAATAATTTAGAACAGGTACTGTATTCTATTAACAAGCAAACAACACACATATGTACAACATCCATCAACTGAGTGGGGGTTGTGTGAAAAGGACCACAGGTTTTATTATATGGGTTTTGGGTCTCATTTATCCTTTCATTTAGAAAATTAGCATCACCACCTCCACTCTTACATCTCTTCACTTTAAACATATGCCTTTGGCTGTGTGCCCATAAACACTAGACTGAAAACCTTAATTTCTCGGAGACAGCTAACAGTGAAGCCATTTATTTATTTATTTATTTATTTATCTATCTATCTGAAACCCCCACAACAGATGCAGAAGTCATGCACAAACTGCCTCAAATTATTAGTTCTATTGTGCTCCCTTATTGCATAATGGGTAGCATTTGATGTTAGTATTTGTTTCTCAGGTTTTGGTTTAATCTTCTCACTCCACCCACAAATCAACAAATCCCAAAAGCAAAGGATAAAGAGTAAAGCATGGGCTTAGGATATCACCGCACTGCCACAAAGAGATTGTCACAGCACCTGCCCATTCTGGAAGTGCAGCACTGACACATTAGGGAGAACGTGCAATTATTTGCCAAGGCAGCTCTCCTTTCAACTCGGCAGGAATAAAGACTATTTTTCCTGCATCCAGAAATGGCTATTTGTGTTGCCTTTTGAGCATGGGCATATTGGAAACTATACAAGAACAAATGCTATGCCTTAAACAAGGGCAGACCTAGTAAGGAAGTAGTTAATTAAGTTCTGATAAACAATGATTAAGGACACACCAGGTAAGTTATATCACTGTTCATCACTGTTGGGGAAAGAAGTTCATGTGCTCAGCAGTAGTATTGTGTTTAAAACCTGGTACCCAGACTACTGGATATATTTATGTTCCACCCATATACAAGGCTAGAACCAAGATTTTATGTTTATGCCTATTAAGGTTGGCATCTTATAAACTGATTCCCCATCTCCAAGCCAGATCAAAAGACATTCAAAAATCACCCCACTGTGTAGCAAAGAAAAATTACTTACTGGCATCTTGTTTCCATATCATCAAAATAATTCAGGAAGGGATGCTTGGGATTATGTACTTTTGTGAAAATATATACATTTATAAGTTTCAAGCCTTTGCTCCAACTGTTAACGATATTTACCAGTGATAAAAATAATATTTTCAAAAACATTCTTAGTAGCACACAGAAACATTGTAATGCTTAGAGACACCAACCATTTAAGTCAATTCTAAACCTGAACACAGGTTAACATAGCACATTGGTGGCTGACAAACATAAACTATGGTCTATGGTCCCTTAGCTGGAAGAATTCTCAGTGACTACCATCGTCCTATAGGCAAAAAAGCTTGAGGGTAGAATCGAGAATGTGTTAAGGTCCAGTTTTTTAATGTGCAAATTAAAAGGAAATTTTGCAACGTTCTTAGGCAGGTGATAATTGTGAAAGTGTTGTAAAACATGAGACTTTTTTTATATAAAGTCAACGAAGCACACAGCTAAAAACTGGAAATTCACTAGTTAATTATTTTTAACTGGACACTAGGGTAGTCAAGACAGTCTGTGCGTGACCGTCAGCCAGCCAACTTTATAACAACGAATTCTCATAATTTTAATACTAGTTTTTCCCTCTTAGATGTATGTCCTTTCCACAACTCTCACAACATATCGCCTCCTATATTCAAAAAAAAAACAAAACCTTGGTGCCTTTCAGAAGCTTTGGACCACAACTCTCATTAGCCCCACTCTGCACAGCTGTTCCATCTGTGGTCCAAACGTGTAGAGGTCACCAATTTGGAGAAGGCTGCCCTAAATCCTTTAACAGATAAATATAGTAATAAAAGTAATAAAATTCTAATACAGATAACACACATCTTATGCAAGGTTCTGGGGGTCTGCACACAAACACAAAATCACATAAAGCTAGGAACCCCCAGAACAACCACCACTGCCCCTGCCTCTGCAAGGTGGAGGGCTGTTCACCAGGCTTTGAGAAGGCAACACTGCCTTCCTAGAGTCCGGTAAACACTTGTCTGATTTTGGGAAGGGGGTGCAAGGGCTCTAAGATGCTGCCAGAGTCCTTGTGTCACCTTCCCAAAGCTGGGTAAGTCCACTATCACTGCTGTGCATGGGTGGGTGAATAAATAAATAAATGGAGAGTCGGTTTCCTTTGCTCTCCATTTATTTATCTCTCTGACACCTGTGCAAAGCTGTGATCATGTAGGTATAATAAGCATAAGATGCAAGTTAAAGGTAAAGGGACCCCTGACCATTAGGTCCAGTCGTGGCCGACTTTGGGGTTGTGGCGCTCATCTCGCTTTACTGGCTGAGGGAGCCGGTGAACAGCTTCCAGGTCATGTGGCCAGCATGACTAAGCCGCTTCTGGCGAACCAGAGCAGTGCACGGAAACGCCGTTTACCTTCCCGCCAGAGTGGTACCTATTTATCTACTTGCACTTTGACGTGCTCTCGAACTGCTAGGTTGACAGGAGCAGGTACCGAGGAACGGGAGCTGACCCCGTTGCGGGGATTAGAACCGCTGACCTTCGGATCGGCAAGTCCTAGGCTTTGTGGTTTAACCCACAGCACCACCCGCGTCCTATATAAGATGCAAGTTACTTGTGTAATAAAATGCCAGTTGCTCTGTTAATGTCCTTCTTTTGCTGTATTTGCCTGCCATGCTACTTTCCTGATTTCACCTGCTTGCCATATTCTCCCCCAACCCAAACCTTTAAAAAGCCTCCTTCACTCTCTCTCTCTCTCTCTCTCTTACAGGATTTAACACACACACACTCTGTGTGTGTTAATGCTCATTCTATCCAAGAGTGCCTGGCCTATTACACATTGTTTCCTGTGATTCAGAATACAAACATACCCCAGTAGAACTGTTTAACATGATTTAATGTCCACAGGTACTGACAAGATTCTAACTCTAGCCATACACATTTTGATGCTTTAGATGGGAATGTGTTTTCTAAAGCTATCGGATCAAGGGGCCTGTTTGTATGGAATCGTTAAATGTTTGCATCAAAGAGACATAAGTAACATATGACAGCAGGAGCTGCTAAGTTTATTTTTGCTTATCTGACCATTCCCCATAGGGCAGGAAGCTAATGACTGCTCTCCATCATCAACAATCCTCAGTATTTACATCCATCCTGTTACCATGACAGCTGTGTCACTTATTCCCCAACCACTTCCACCACACAAACCAATCGCTCTGCATGAAACTGCAAGATGGAGTGCCCTGCAGTCATTACTCACCAACCACTTTCATTAACAAACTGCCCTTAATTACAGAGGTAATTGCAAAATTATTTCATAGTAGCAATTATTTTTCTCAGCCCAATCCAAGCTATCTGAAGTAGGATTCTGTCTATGAATATGGCACCCAGCCAGCTCATCTTTCACCACAGATTGGCTTTAAATATTATACTGCTACAATGAGCTTGATACCGGGGGTGGGGGGTGCAAGCTAATGACTACAGACACTGGGATGCAGCTTCCAGCCCCAGAAGACAACAATGTTCATTTGTTTGCTGTTGTTTTTTTAAAAAAAATATCATGCATGGTGTTCAGATGGGTAATCTTGTATTCTTATTTTTTATGCTCTTTTATATATCTGAGTTATTGCAATTTGTTTAGTTATCTAATTTTACTCTCTCTCTGCCTGACTGCTCCCTAAAATCAGAAGGAGAGACCCCCTTCTGTGTCCCACCTGGGGTAGAAGAACACTGGATGGGACAAGAGAAAACGCCTTCTCAGTGGCTGTACCTGAGAGATGGTATCCTGTACCTTTACTGTCCAATGCAATAAGGGGCTGGTTTCCCTCCTTACTAATTTTTGCCAGTTGCCAAGGTTTATTATTATTATTATTATTATTATTATTATTATTATTATTCTAGCATACTTTTTAAATGAAGCATACACACACACACACACACACACACACACAGCTCAGGGTGTGAGGGGAGGGGTAGTACCTCGGGTGGGGGACTCGTTATGTTTCTTCTGGGGTAGTTTGTTCACCTCTCCCCCCCCCCCCCGCTGGACCTAGGGCTCCTAGAAGCTGTCAGCATGCAACAGCAGCCACACTCTAGGAAATGGTTTCAACTGGCCAGCTAAACCAGGTGAGGGTAGCTGATGGGTCTCAAACCCTTGGTGCGTTAGGGACTTTCCTTGCATATGAAGACAGGCTCTGGAGCATCGAAAGGATGAAACTAACAATGGGTCCAACTGTTAATAAGGCAGTTACTGCATATGCTGTAGAGGGAAGCAAGGGGCAGATGGGGCTCATCAAACTGGGAAGGTAGCCCATCTAGGAAACGGAAAACTCTGATCCTAAGCTTCTGCTGCCTTGTGGGATATCTCTGGGAGAAGAAAAGACTAAGGGGTAAACTCTACACAAATCCAGGGTGGAGTCCCAAATATAGTTGGATGGCATTTTGTATGCCTCCTTCCAGCAACTCTTGCAGCCAAGCTGGTGCCAAGTGTATTGCTCTGCTTTCCTTTGGACCACATCGGTGAGGTCAAGAGTGGGATCTTATTGTCTGGGCAGTCCAGGACCTCCTGCACTGGCACTGTCTCTTCGGCTTCCCAGTTAAGAGAGGCTTCAGGGGCAGCACAGCAAAACATCCCTGGTGGATGAAGTCACTGCTCTACACTTGACACACTTGTCACGAATTGCAGCAGCATCTGTGGGATCTCTGCTGTTGTGTCTTGGTCTCCCATACAGTTTTTGATTGGCAAGCGTTGGGGGACACACTAGTTCAATTTGCCCCATGTGGTATTGCATAAATAGTACAGCAACACATAATTTTGTTAAAAGTGGTTGTAACTACTGCTGTTGAAGACGTCGGTACAAATGCACTTCGTTGGGATCAGAATCTGAGCTGGTAGCAAACGAAATTGACCCGAAGCTTGTAAAGACACATAAAGATTTATTGGTATATTATTTTTTTATGGACAATACTGTAAGACCTACTGGATCATATTCTAAAATACTTAACCTCAAATATATAATTTCCATGTTATTTTATTTATACAAAACAGTACTCTGTCAAAGGGACACTAATTCACTACAAGAGATTCTAGCTAAATTTTAAAATCTGCTCTTTTCTAATCTGCTCTTTACTTTTTATCCATCCTCACTGGTAGAAACTATAACAACAACAACAACAACAACAACAACAACAACAACAACATTTAATTTATATCCAGCCCATCTGGCTGGGAGACTTACAACATATAAAACACAACAAAACATCAAACGTTTTAAAAACCAAGATATCCTATACAAGCAACAAACAAACCAATAAATCAATAAAACCAATAACAAAACGAAAAATAAAAACAATAGTAATAAACAGTTTACAGTTATACCCAAATTAAAGCAGCTGCCAACCTTAACTAAACATTTAACCAACTCGACAAAAACGAAACAGAGGAACCGAAATTAGAACTGTTTAAAACATTATAAAACTTTTTAGCCAGCTGCTCCAACCCAAGAGTTGTTCCAGCCATGTTGCAGTGGCCTCCCAAGAGCCTCTTTTAGCTGTTCAAGGTGAGTGTCAGCCCCACCCCCTAGGCCAGGTGGAAATGGGTTTTGCGGCAGGGAGCAGGTCTTTTTCCCAGAACTCAGGCAGCAAAAAGTCTCAAGAAGTGGCCTTCCAAGCCCTGCCAACAGGTATTGTAACCAAGGATGTCAGGGACTGCATGTGCTATGGTTGTGTGTGTGTGTGTGTGTGTGTGTGTGTGTGTGTGATGTAGGGAAGAAGAAAGCAATTTTAATATAAGAAACTAATTCATTTTCCAAGCAATCTAAACCTTGCAAAGATGCCCACAGCTAAATATAATGTTACGGTGACAATTTCCGTAAGGCAGTGAGCAATTTTTCTCCTTAGTACAGTAAAACAAAGTTTAAGAGCTGCAGGCCAAGGCCAAAAATGAAGTTTAAAGCACTTTTGTTTCAGTATTATTTTCTTCCAGCGTTCAGATCTAATACTGAACGCCCCCCAGAACTCAGTCATCAACTATCAGGCCAAGACAAATGAGGTGCTTTTATGCAAAGGAACTACAGCTAGATTAAAAACTCCTCATAGATCAACATTAGAGCCAGTAAGTGAAAGTATTTCATTTTGATGATTTCAAATGCTGCATTAATGAGAAAAATTGAGGCAGGTCCATCAATGAACCAACACATTGGACAAATGCATCTTCAGTGCTAGCTTTTGAGAACATTTCCCCACCCACCAAAAGCTCAAAAGTAACAAAAGCAATACCCTCTGGCACTATCAACAGGAGCCACTACAATGATTTGAGCTAATCATCCAGCCCTCTCCCAGAGGTGAGGACAATTGGTAAGGCTGATGTGATTAATTCTATGTCATTTCTGTGCCGGTCTGTTTTTAACATTCTCTAGAGCAAACATGTTAGCTGTAAGCATACAGTACTTCGGAAAATGCCTATTGTGAAAACTCACGGGGCTCTTCACAGTCTGAGAAAGCAAACATCATAAGACAAGCCTGCCATAAAGTCAGCATTTCTTCTTTAGTGACTACTCTTCACACACTTAGAAAAACACCCCTAATAGTCAGCTATGATTGCAAAAATAAAATAAAACACCAGAATAAAGGCTTTTAAAACCAATCAAAAAAGAAAATGTTT